GAATAAGAGGAGAGTATGAAACACTCCCTTTTCTTTTCTTTTATTTTTCTTCTTTTTTTTTTTTAAGATTTGAGGTAATTATAAATTACACCTCCCTCATATTCTTAATATTAGGCATTTTGATTTGTTTTAAATTTTAGATAGTATGTATTTTTATTTGACAAAAAAATCATAAAAATATATTTTCACATTTCCTGTGTTTTCTTGATTGTTTTTAAATATTTTTTTAAAAAAAATTCAATTAAAAATATCTACTAAATGAATCTTAAGAGAAATCAAAATGAAGGACCGGAGGGAGTAATAAAGATTTCACATATTCTTCTAATTGGAACATATATTTAATAATTCAGCCGTACCACCTTACAAATGGCGCCATCATCATGAATGGATGGGATGTTTCATCAGACAAACTCCATGAATATTAATATCACAGACTACTAGTAACTAGTAGTAGTAGATCCCCATGGCTAGCCAAAAAAGTCTTCTGAGCACACTGAAGCTTAGGATACCTTCCCTCGAAAATAAAGTGTTATATATACTGCACCAAGATCTGCATATAATTAAGCGCCATGACTCCTTGACAGTGACTTTGTTTTGATGGAGCAAATGGATCCATCCATCTTATTGGCTTAATAATTTTTCTACACTATAGTATAGCCCTTTTTTTAATCTTTTGTTCATATTTGGCAAAATTTTCCGGTTGCAAATTAAGCAGACCGTACGTCAATTATTTCAGAGCAGGCTGCCTTTGATTTATTGTCTTTTAGACATGACTATTCGGTGCAGGTTCTCCTCCTTCATTCAACACTCGCACGCCCCCAAGCACACGCACCCCCCCCCCCCCCCCACCCCCGCATCTCCTGTCTATTCTTGCATTTTTGTCCAAGAATAATATTAAATCCGTTTTGAAAAAATAGTTCATGCTAAATTTCAAATTTATACGTAGGTTATTTTCTTGAAGCAGGATAGTATAGATTTATTTGTTACGAAATAAAGCTTAAACTAATTCACAACACAAACATATGTATTGAGCTACATATATTTGATTCTGTCATATTCTTTCTTTTTTTCAATTGATTCTCTTGTAGTAGTACTTCAACCATGTTTGATAATACACACAAAATTATGGGTCAGTAAAAAGGTTACAAGAAGTGAAATAAAAAGAAAAAAAAGTTTGAAACATGACATTTTGTTTCCAATCTTATAGTTCACTCTATATATTTTAAATTCGCATTTTCAAAAGAAAGAACACGTTCGCATTCTCAACTGAAATTGCGAAAAGAAATGCTGATAGCTCAACATTATACATTAATGATCTCTTTTTTTTTCCTTCACTTTTTTTGTCAATCCAAAGTATTTAAGCTAGTTGCTACATCTAATCATTAATCAGAAAAAGTTAGAGGCTTCTTCCATTACATCAATCACAAAAAGTTTATTTAAGAGGACACTAATCTCTCATACACTGAAGATTTTACTGGATTTAGAAGTCGAATCCGCATTTTAATGTTTTTACGCACATATTATAACTACTAATAAGAATACAAAATGTTGAGCAATATTGAAAACAAGTACGGATCTCTCCGTCCCATAATTATTATTCAATTTAAATTTTTATTTCTAATTCACTTTATACTTGGACAATAATTTTGGGAGAGAGGAAGTATCACCCTCTCTTTTGTGCCTCATCAATCAGTATAAGACGGTTTTGAAGCTGATGATCATTGATAGTGTATTAAGTTACAAAATAGTAGCTAGAAGCCTAAAAGAGAGAATTGATGGGGGTGATGATATATCATTCATGAAAAGGGGAATTATGTGGTCCAAGATACTTCAATGATCGGAGATGGAAGAATTCCTGCCTCATTGGGTGGTAGAAACAGCCATTTTCACCACTCAGAGTAGTTAGTCGTGTTGTAGCTTTCAATTTTAAAATTCGTCAGTCGCACCTGTTTTCAGTACGATTACGATACGACACACTTTTTTGTTTGTATTCCACCCATTCAATACAACTGATCTACATTTTAACATTTTCTTTTGACCAAAATTAACTTCACCGATCTTGCATGTAAATTATTATTTAGTTTCCGTACCCCTCTCGCGAAGTCAGGCACTTTTTATTTTTTGTATATTTATTTTTTAGTCAAGCAAGTATATATGTAGTTTCTCCGTAATCCAGTTAAAATTTTCATTTCTAATACAATATTATACTAAAAATAAAGATTCAAACATGATAACTATTTTGCCATTTTAGAATAAATAGAGTATTATATGGGATAGGCATGCCCTCTGAAACTGTCGATTACGGCTGTTCCATTTTGATAAAAATAAGAACCGAACCGCCCCTGTATATCATAGTTCTGGTTATAATTCAAATTATCGGTTCTAGTTTGGTTTCGATCCTATCATGTTTCTAGTTTTGATTATAAGTTGTGGCGGCTTTGGTCACAATATTTTTATTAGGCCATTTTTTTTTGTTAAATGAATTTTTTTCTTTTTCTTTTATGAAAGTAATATGAAATATGGAGTAAGAAATTCATTTTTTTAATATTTGACAAAATTAGGACGATATTTGACATGTATATTTCAAAGTTTTAACTATATGCATGAAAAGTAATAATACATGGTGCTTAAAAGTTATTCCAATCAACAAATCATCCTTACAAACATTATCAATAAAAAAAATAGATAGCTTGTGTCATATTTGAAAAAATAAATATGCAATGGTTTAAGTGATAATTAAACCACTAGTTTACTTTTTTTACTTTTTAAACAATGCTAAAATAACTATGTTGACAGATTTTCTATTTTTTAAAATTATAAAAAAAACCAATATAAATACCAATTGAATTGCTAATTTTTACGGTTCAGAACTGACGGTTAAATACGCCGGTTCACGGTTTTAAAAATAATAGAACATTAACCGAATCACAAATAAAAAGTTCAGTTACGGTTTTAGAACATTTAAAGACGGTTCAAGAACCAGAACCTTATTTTCCGGTTTGGTTCCGGTTCGCCTTGGGCATGCCTAATATAAGGTTGAAAGTAGAATGCAAGTTCAATGCCCAAAAATTGAAAAACTTACTACCAAACCGACAAATGTAGAAATTCTCTAAATGATTTTATGTAATTTTTTTTTTTAATTTTTGTTTCAATTGATAGTACAAATAATTTGATGTGTAACCTTCGTTGAGTATATTAGTATATTGACATAAATTTCCCCAGAAGTTACCTTGAAAAATAAGAAACAAACTATTTTTAACTGTATAATGCAACAGGTTGAATACAACAAGGACAGTGTAATGCATATGCCCTGAATTTCATGTATGTCACTTGTTTGATTGAGCAAATTTACAGGATATGCTATGGCATCTAAATCTCACTGCTCAATTAACAATCAGTCATATTTTCTTTTTCTTCTTTTTCATTATTTTTTCCTAGCACCACAAAGCGAGAAAATCATGGTTCCAAAATGATTTAATAATAATGAGGTAAAAACTTGCAAAAGAAAGTCAACATATTTTGTGGGAAAACACTATTACACGCTCTTGTAACTTATGTTGTACTAAAAATGAGAATAGAAACTGGACAATAATTTTGTTCATAGAAAAGTATTATGATTTCACTCCAATTGAAAAAGACATACAGCTGATGCAAAAATTACTCACATCATGGATATACGATTTCGAACACTAGTAGTTAATGAGATTCCCAAACAAAGAAAAATTGGCAAATGGCGGAAAAACAATTGGAGATGAGATGAAGATTGAAGTGCAACCCAGCAAGTCACGAGGAAATCCATCAAATACATAATGCTTGTTGCATCACAAAAGTGGGGCATCAAATTTAATAAATGAACCAAAGTGTTGATTGGAAACCATAATAAATCAATTATATAAATACACGTCTTATTCTTTACACAAAAACGCTCTTAACCGGATTTGCAGCATTTGTTTGGGAGTCTGATTGGTGGGTCTCTATACTCTCTATAATGAACCAAAAAAAGGGAAAAAAAAAAAAAAAAAAGTAATCAATAATTTGGAAATTTGGATTTTGCATACATAATCCTTTCGATTTAAAAAATGTCTACCGGAATGGAGGCACCGGTTGGCTACTTGTCCTTGTCTCCCTAACCCGGCCCGGAGGTTGTTGCTTCTCCTCCTCCATAAACTAACACCAAATGTATGCGTCACTACAATTTCCTTTTCCCCAAATAATTCTTATTCTTATCTTTAATTAATTTATTTCTCATTGCTTTTGTTTTGTTCTTATGAAGACGCCACAATCAATAATAATGTCAAATGACACGACTTCCTCTGCAATCAAACCAAAGTTGAATAAAATAGACCATGTACGTATAACACATCGTATAGTTTTGTTTATTTATGTATTGTTAAAATATCTTTAGTTATAAAATATGGCTAGTAAAAACGTAGGTGGAGTAAAATATACGAACTCGAGTGAAATTATTGTTTTAGTGATAAATCGCTCTTATTCTCCATGGAAGATCTAGTATTTGATGTCTCGATCTTAGATGTTTTTCTCTGCCGACGAATATATGGACGAACTTGTTATGATAAACTCACTCATGTTGTGAATTTCAATTTGGGTGAGTTCTTGTGAGCTTATTTCTTCCAATATGATTTGGAAGTTATTGAATTGCGTGTTGATTTACCTAGCGGTGAGTTCTATTGTTCATTACTAAAAAAACAAACACATTCGGGCACTTCCATTAATACGAACAAAATTATTTTACTGGTTAGAGTTGGTACATTAAAACCCAATTGCAGTCAGTCCATGTGGATAAAAAAAGAAATTCTCCCAATTATTCACTCATCATTCCTGTTGAACTCCCGATCAATTTCGAACATGATGCCCAACAAAAGAAAAAAAAACACCAAGCAATTACCTTAATATAAATTGTTGTTTGTTAACGTACGTACTACCAGATAATGTGACAACAATAGGATCTTTGGAATCAACACACACACGGGTGTGATGAACAGAAGAATAGAATAGTATAGAACAAGAAAGCCAAAAACACCTGAAGCTGTAGCAGAAAAAGAGTAAAAAAAACAACCAAAAAAGGTGCAGCGAATATGTGTATGATGGATGTGGATCAATGTACTATATCAATGCGAGACCCACGTGCGCATATTACCGTACCCCTCCAAAAAAAAAAAAAGGTTGTAGATTTTGCATGGTCCTAAAGGCAACCAAATTTACGAAAAGCTGGACCAGATCAGATGGATCGATGATAAATAAACCAGGACGAACTGTAGTACTCTACACAGAGAAAGAAGTCCAGTAGAGGGATTCACAGAACCAACAATATATATTGTTTTTAATTTTGTTGCTATTTGGAGTTATTCTTCTCCCCCTCTTTGATTGAAGAAAAAAGAAGTGACCAAAATTTTTCCCACCTTTTTCTTTTTAAAAAAAGCCAACACCAAATGTGGAATGCTTCATAATTCATATAATGCTTATATAGACAGACCTACTACTGACCAAACGTAGTTAAAGTGGGATCCCAAAAAACAACGAATAAGTCGTAAAAAAGAACATATAAGAAAGGAAAAAGAGAATGCATCCAATGATGATGATCAAAATGAAGAGGAGTTGTTAGCTTGTACCTGGATCTAATAATATTCTCTCTATAATCAAACCATATATATATATACATGGAATCAAATTATGAAATTGTACGGTTGTGACTTGTGAGTGGCTCGTTTATATACATTTCAAGTAATGCACTAAAAACTTTGTTTGAATCAAAGTGTGGTGGATTGGGATCGATGGATCCTCAAATCCCATGTTAAATCGGAGATGAAAGCTATAAACACTGCAATTTTACTCCTGAACAGACATAGTAATTACTGGTAAAGGGTCATCACAAAAATGATATAGCATTTTTTGGACGAAAGACATAATTAATACTTAACTATTTATTAATTTCCAAAGCAGCTACAGTTAGCCAGTTACTATCTCCGTGGCGTATCAGCATGAAATGAATGATTCTGATCCCTTCAAAATGGTTAACGTTAAAAAAAACGACAACATATTATAGATAAACAAAGATAGATAAAGCCTCAAGGGGTTATGCGCAAATTTCTCTAGAGCCAAAAGAAGGAAAAAGTTTGCTTTAAAGGAATTATTATATATATATATATGTAAGAATATCAAAGAAACGTTGAAACTTCAATGATCCTAATCAACTTAAAAATTTATAAAAAGAATCGAGAAAGGAAGAAAAAAATATGCACCCCAATGTGTTCCTTCATGAAATAAGAAAATTAATTCTCATGATCACAGTTTTTGAAGGAATGCTAAAGGATTTTTTTGTAGTATACATATATTTATAATTTAAGCTAGATATAATAATAATAATGGTCGGGCAGGAAGAAAAAGAAGGAAAAAAATTGAGAAATTACGTACTAGTAAGAATTTACTATTATACTGTCGTTGTTGTGACAGCCACGGTGGTTGTTTTAGCACCGGCATCAGCAGCACCGCCACCAACGTCGGCAGCAGTTTCTGGCGGAGCCAGCGATGCGGCGGCGGAAGAAGTCGTTGTCGACGCTGATGACGGTCTTTTCCGTTTCTTCTTCTCATACGGTATCCCGCGAGCCTTGGCTTGACTTTCTCTAACTTCTCTGAGGTAAATCCTGACGGCCCGAGCACCGAACGGGTTGGATTCGGGCCGTCCACCGTTTTCCTCGTAGGCGGCTCTGAGCCGTCCGATTAAGGCATCTAGGCTGCCCCAGGCTTGCTTAAGTGGGCACTGACATGGAGCAGGCGGATTCGGGTGCCCGAAATAGGGGCAACCCGCCACGTGCACCTTAGTCTTCCCGAACTGATCCAAGTACTTCAGAAACTCGATCACGTGAGCTCCGCTGCACCTGGCTAACGTTAGCGGCGGCTTGTGGTTTTTCAGGTACTGTAGAAAAGTGTTCCAGTCCCGTCGTTTCTGTGACTCGTAACGACTCGGTGGCGGCGGCGCCGCCGTTGACCCTCCTCCTCCTCCTCCTACTACAACAGTTCTCTCTACGCCACCGCCACCACCTCCGGTCACGGATGATGGGCCGGCCTCTCCTCCGCCGCTTACATCCAGTCCTCCTCCTCCGGCTCCGCCGCCGCCAGATGCGGAATCCATCCGGAAAGTGAACAAAAGATGATCAGCTGAAATCGGTGAAGTGATGGGGTAATTCTTGACTACTAGTAGTACTAGTGATTGTGTATGGAAATAGTAGGAGTAGTAATAATAATACAAGGGACATAAGGAAATCGGAGTTTCCTTCTTTTTTTAGTAAAAAGATCTTCGCCAAATTAAAAACACTGTAGAGTCTGAGTCAAGAAGGGGTCACCAAAAAACAGTAGTCTTATTTTTCACTGTTTGGTTTCTGTGCAGGAGAACGGGGGACTACTATTAATACTTTGATTTCAGGAAGGCAAGGATGGGTTAATTTTCTCTTTTTTTTTTCTTTTTTTTTTTTGTTTTCCTTCTTCTTCTTCAACCTTCGGTGTAGCTCAAAACTCAAAAGAGAGAGAGAGAGAGAGAGAGAGAAAGGGTATTGTTTTTGGTCTTTTTTTGGAGCGTAGGAGTTGAAATTGAAAAGGAAAGAGAGAGAGAGAGAGAGAGAGAAAGAAAGGGGAGAAGGAAGGAAATGAATGATGGGACGTAAGATGGGAAAATGAATATGAATCGTTTTAATTGATTGAAATAAAGAAAAGAAAGGAAGAAGAAGAGTGAAAGAGTGAATAAAAGTTGATGTTTGAGATTGTGATGACTTATGTTGTGGAGACTTGGAAAGACGGAGACACACAGAATAGTGAGAGTGTGTGAAGAGAGAAAGAATCCCAAGGTGTTTTAGAGTAAAAATTATTCACGTGGTGGCCCCACCCGCTGTGAAGGTTATTTCCAAGTGGAAGTGACAGGTTTACCGCGTTTTACTATTCAAACACTGGCAGGCCCCCCGCCATCTCCACTCGTCGGCGCCTCCTTCCTCCATCCCTCCCCTCTTTTTTATAGTTTGTACAAACCCTATATATATAGGTCTCAATTATTTGTTTGTATGCCACCAGTATTTCTACTTCTTCCTATTTTGGTATACACTACTCAAATAGTGGTGTGTTAATCACTCCTTCCCCCTTACCACTCTAGTCTAGGGATGGCAATCTGTGTCGGGTCTAGATTGATGTGTCGGGTCGGACCCGAACTCGAATAATATACAGTCAACCCGGACCCGACCTGTTTAATTATACAGGTCGGAATTACTAACCCTAATCCGACCTTTTAATAAGCAGATCAATCCGGGTTGACATGTTTAACTCGTTTAAAAAAAAATCAGAAAAATCACACATCGGCAAATTCAGTCTATTCAACTTGGAAAAAAATAAATAGACCCACAAAACCTACCAAAATCGACAAACACACTTGCAATAGATTGTTCTTCAACCCCGTATACATTCGGCATTCCCCTTCAAAAATGCAAAACAAAAAAAAAAATTCCTTTTTTCCCCCTTTTTTAGATTTCAAGCTTCAACATCAGGACTACAACTTTCAAACTTAAATAAATTTGTCTCTAAATTTCATCCTTGGAAGCCACGAATTTGCAAAGATGAGGATTCAAACACGTGACTTCAAATCAAGGAGAAGGAGTTCCATTCTGATTCTGATGATGATAACGTGCTTCAGGAAAATGAAGGAGAAGAAGACAGCCAAGAGGAAAATCAAGAAAACACAGTGGCTCAATCACCGAAAGAAAATCAAAAACAACCTTAGCAATTGAAGAATCAACGCCGGCAATCCCAACAGCAAAGCAAGAAGGAGGAGGAGGAGACCGCCGTGAAGATGATGATTGATGAGCGGAGATCGGGAACACCAATTTGTGATAGACGGCGGGAGAGCTTTCAAGGTCAAAGTGGAGGGGAATCAGAGTGGAGAGGAATCGACAGAAGTTGGGGGAGCTGAACTACGGCTAGGGATTGGAGTTGCAGAAAATCAGAGCCCCTGCCGCCGACAGGACGGAACCCTAAAGGAAAATCGAAAAGTTGTGCCGAATGATGAATAAAAGAGTATATATATGAGCTGAAATTAGGGTTGGGATAGCAGTGAAATTTCCAAATTACCCCTACAGAATACAAAACTTACATATTCGGGGGTAACCCGTCGGGTTGACCCTAAACCGACCCGTATATTAAACGGTTCTAAATTTCCAACCATAACCCGACCTATTTAATATGCGTGCCGTGTTCGTATCGGGTTCGTGTCGAAATTCCGAGTCGTGTCAGAGATTGCCAACCCTACTCTAGTCGCTTTTTTTGTTTCAAAATAATTGCTCAATTCGAATTTTCATTTTCAATATCGAGAAAATATAGAAGACCGATTTATGTATACCAAAATAATTTTTTCTTTTTGTTTTCTTTTTTTTTGGGATATAAGATGATGGAAATGCTTAAATAACCTATTGTAACTGTCATCATAATAAGGTAGCTTTACTGTATCACCTTATTATTACTTCTTTCTTATTATCATTAACTAGTGAGTGACTCGTAGATTGTGCGGGTTATAAATTTTTTTTGTATATTTGTGTAAGATAAAGATTATCAAAAAAAAAATGTAAGAATAATCGTGTTGAAAATCTGTATGAAGGCAATCCGTTGAATTAAAAAAAAATTCTAAAAAATAAACAAAAGTTTTAAAGGCAAATGAAACAGAAACACATAACTGTTTTGAATTGTTTACTGTCATGGAGTTTAACAAATCTCGTATAAGATTTAGGATAGGAATAATCTAGGATAACTTGGATTTCATTATCAAACTACTTATTTTAAAAGATTGTTACAGAAAGTTAAAATAAAGTTATCTTATACGGTTAAGATGCACTGTAATCACAGTTAAATCTTTTTTTTTTTTTACTTCCAACTTAAGTGAACTTATAATTTCATGCCAAGTAAATTATTTTCATCCTGTATTAATATATATATATATATATATAGATTTCTTTTTTTGATTATACAGGAAAAAATACTTCAAAAGAATCATAAATTTTACAAAACATATGTGAGATTAACAAAAAATAAATAAAAAAGTACTGAACTACACCTATGGGTGTAATTAGTTGATGCCAAAGAAACAATATATCTGTGTTCAACCTATCAAAATGTCTATTTAACGAAGGGAAGTAGATACACATTACATTACGCAATATATATATATATATATATATATATATATATATGTGTGTGTGTGTATGTATATTTATGTATTATACAGATTTAGTTTGTAATGAAAATAAACTAAATTAAATAATGTGTGGGTGACGAACTAACGATATGAATAAAATTCACCTCTACATAGCACTAGTGATGTCTGGTCGCGCAATGCGCGACCCTGGCCCAGTCTATCTGTAGATCTTAGAAATGTTTATATTTGAAAAAAATAAAATTTTGTATTTGGAACGATATATTTTAGAAATGTTTGAGAGATTTAGAAATATTTTATAAGTGTAATCATAGAAATATTTGTATTTCGCAAAAAAGAAATAAATTGTATTTCGCCATGTATGTTTTAGAAATGTTTTATAAGTGTTACTTATTAAATATAAATAGCTTAATCGAATATATGTGTTGAAGTAAATGTTAGATAAAATATAAAAGCATCCTAATAAATTTAAATATTAGTAAGATGATTTATTGATGTTCTCCATTGGTCGTGCCAAATCAATACTTAGTTTTGGAGATTTTTAATAGCTTTGTAATAAGTTTCATCCAAAGGGTATACGCTTAAAACAAAATTTACACTTTATAACAAAAAACCTAATTGATCAATTCAATTTAAAAAACCACTCTAGTTAGAATGAAACATAAAGAAAAAATTTTTAAAAAAAACGTGTCACGTAAAGTGCAAAGGGAGATTTAGTAATTTAGTTATGGTTAGACAAAAAGGCAATTTAGTATTTTCTACATGCCACGTGGCAATCATATGAGGTGTTTGAAAGAGAGGTTTTTGTTTCTAATATAGTAGGATGTACGTATAGCTGATCCTTTTTTTTAAGGAAAAAAACATAATTGCTGACTTGGCGTGGAAGAATATTCGCGTGGGAATTTGATCTTGCAACCAAAACCAGTAAATAAATTACTTTAAGTATACGATCGATTGATGAGGGACATTATAAAAAAAAAAATCCTTAAATTGAATTAGATTATTTTTATGGGACAAAAAGAATACTGCTACTCTATTGTACTTTTGGCAGAAGATATATTTAGTTTTAAAAAAATAACAAATGTTTCAATTTTCGAAAATGATATAATACTGCAATTAACTGAATATAAGCAAGCACCATTTTGGGCCAAATCCCTTATCTTTCTAAATTCTTTATATCCCAAAATGATGAGCATTATCAATACAATAATTTTGAGATTACGAATGTAACCTAATTCTATTTCGTATTCACGAAATTTGATTGTGATCTTTTTATAGAAGCATTTTTTTTTCTTTATTACTCACTGCAATATTGAATTGCATACAATGAAATATTCGATTCATCTCAGAAAAATAGTCTAATTTTATAAATTAAAATTTTTAAATTGAACTCATGAAATTATACCAGCTAAGCATCATTAAAAAATTACAAATAGATATAATATTTTATTCAATTTTCATATTAATTTGTTAATTTGAAAGATTAAATAATCGTATTTAAAATTTTTGTTTTTTAAATGCACCCGAATGATTTTTGTTGTGACAAGAGGAGTACTATAATTTAAAAGTTTGTTTTCCGTTTCGAGATGTGAATACACGAAGTCACGAAGATAATACAGATTTGCATCGCCGCCGTCATTTTAGAGGTACTTAGACTATTATAACGGAGTAGAACTTACTAGGGAAGGGGATAGTTAGCCGCCGCCATTGATTGGAGAAGAGAGGAATGGTTTCAATTATTAGTTTCTGATTCTGTTTTCTAGTGAACTTGGCTTGATCTCCAATTCTTCATGCATGTAAATTAATCTTGAAGACAGAAACGGTGGCATTAACAATGAAATTTTTGTAGTAACTTTTAGATTAGCTTTTGCATGATTGCTGAGGTGAGTGTATTATTACATGAATCATTAAAGAATTGGTGAAATTGTGTGGGGATCATAACTATATATATTTTTTGACAAAACGTACGTCTAAAATAAAATATTAAAAAGGGATCTATCCTATTAGAATTCTTTCTTAGATAAATCGTTCAATAAACAATGCATTATCTTCAAAGAAGCCAACTAATGAGGCCCTTGAATTTTTGAAGTGGCTCAAACCTTAGAATATGGATGTTGACGCTTACTTTATCATTTTTCTAAGAAAATTATTACCAATTTCGTTATCAAACTCCAACGAGCAATGATCATCTTAGTGAAATTATATAGAAACACAATTTCTGAAAAAATATTGTAACTAAGTTGGAAAAAAAAAAAGTAATCGCAGGTGATACCGTTTCTAAATAATTTTAATATACACGCACGATTTCTAGACTATTTTCCAAGATATATCGTTACTCTAATTATATACTCCCTCCGTCCCATAATTATTGTCCAGTTTTACTAAAATGAAAGATTTTTTTTTTGATCAAACTCAATTATATTTTACCTTAAACAACCGGATATACCCCTACATAAGTAATTGTTTAACCACTAAGATTTTATGGGTAATGTTTTTTTACTAAGGACAAATGTGTAACTTGGTCCATAAAAAGTCAAATTGGACAATAATTTTGGGACAAAATTTTTTGGGCAAAGTGGACAATAATTATGGGACGGAGGGAGTATTTCTTTTGGCCATGATTGTTAATATGAAAATTTTATTTTCATTATAACTTGAACTAAAAATATAAATTTAAATTGCGCAATTATTTTAGGACGATAATATTTACATAGGATATATTGAGGTGTTGCATGGAACAATGTT